AAGTATGTATTGTATAAAGCTGGTAAAAAAATTGTGGGTCCGAACACGTAAAATGTACCATCGGCAACTAAAAGTGAACTATTGTGGCACATGTATTGAATATTAGATTTAGTGGTCAGATAAATGATTTTGCTTTCTGTATCTACGTGACAAAACGTTTCGTTCCTATTAGTTAAAATATTCAGGTTACTAACTTGATTAATAGCTTCTTCCAATGATTGAGGCGTTGTCGGCAATAATTTACGTCTTTGTCTGTACATTGAAACTCCAATATTTCCAATATCATCTGAAACCATTTCCGTATTTTCAGCAGCACACAACTCGTGACGCATTATTTTCGATGGTCGGTCGGTAATATTTTCAGTTGCTTTTCTCTTACAGTTATTGCGCAAAATATGACACTGAGCATCATAATCGTTCACTATATCGTGTAAATGCCCACCATTAACACGAACAATCGCAGTCATAGGTTTATCCATCTCTATTCTAGCAGAACATTTTTTTTTGGTACACCTCAATGACACATTACCACTGGCCATTTATCTTAAAAATCTATATTTTTGCTCTTTAAATAATATACACACAACACCTTTGTTTGTAACAGTTTTTATAAAATCCATTTTAACGAATGACGCTTACACGAATGCTTACGAAAATACGAAATAGGTACTAACAATATGTTATAACACAAATTCCTCACCCACTGTCTATTTGATAATCTATAGTAATCAGATAATACATTAGTCGATTAAGATTAAGCGTTTGGAGTTTTTGAGCAATATAGTTCTAAATTTAGTATCTGTTATTTAACTTCTATTAAACGTAGCTCACAGGTACCTAGGATTTTGGCGCTTTTGTACGATACGACTTTTTTTTTCTTATCTTATTTTGGCGCTTATGTCTTTCACCGTAAAAAACACAGGTCCTAAATATTTGACAAAAGATTGACCATATGATTTTTATGGGTAATCAACAGGTATATTATACCGTCTATTTTCTCTTTTGTCCACAATATCTTTACCGTCAAGGCCTTTATTGAAATTTTTAAAGGTGAACAGAATAGCAAATTTTTTATATAAAAATTCAACAGATAAGACACCAAACTCTCTATAATTATACGAGGTAGAACTTGATAAGGAATGTTTATTTAAGCAAATTCTAACTATATTATTCTGATTAATTTGTATTGGATTTAAAAAACAATCAGCCGAACCTCCCAAATTAACAAACCATATTGATGTATAGATTTTTACAACGCAAAATTAACTACACGCATTGTGTGTTTAGGTACCAAATCTTTTAATTTATAGAATTTATAGGTTACCTGACGTAACTTTCCTACCAAATTATGAATGTGAAGATTCCAGCGTAAATTATTATCAAAAATGATACCTAAATATCGCGTACTTGAAACTTCTTTAATAGTTAAGCAAATATTTAAGTCACTACAACTCTTACCATCGTTACATCTATGTATTTTAATATGATTAAGTGTTTGAAAACTTTTGTAAATTGAAAAGGTCATAAACATTGATTTATTTTCGTTAAGCGTCAGATTTCTGTCACATAGGATTCGGTGTATATTATTTAATCCAACGGTTGCTTTATGATGAACGCCGGTCCAAGTTTTATCGGTAAAAAGCAAGCAGGTATAGTCAGCGTAAGAGACCACAAAACCATCAATTATTAAATCACTTACTGCGTTGATATATAATAAAAATAAAACTCTACCTTGAGGGACTCCATATTCAATTGAACCTACCTGACCAGTAATGTCATTGATCCTGACCATTTGTTTTCTGTTCGTTAAGTAGCTTTTAAACCAATTAAAGCTATGATTATTAATACCGAAGTTCGGAAAAATTTGAAATAAAATGTTATGATTGACAGTATCAAATGCCTTAGTTAAGTCCAGGAATACGGCAAATACTTAATTACTGTTATCTAATTCTCGGTAAATAAATTGAGTTGTTTGATATAATGCATCTTTAGTACCTATGCCTGGTCTAAAACCAAATTGGTTTTTTGATAAGAGTTTCTTGGCTTCTAGAAACGAAATTAATCTTTGTTTAATAATTTTTTCAAATATTTTCTCAAAATTAGTAAGCAAAGATATAGTTATTAACATTTTTTTTATCTCTAGATTTGTAAATAGGTTTGATCAATGCTAGTTTAAGATTATCCGGAAATATACCTCGCTGTATACTCATATTGAAAATGTACACAAGCAGATCTGCAACAAGTTCGATAATATATTTTAATAACTTGCATGTAATTCTATCATGACCAGCGGCTGTGTCATCTTTAAAGTTATTTACAATGTTGATGATCTCAGAGTTAACTATCCTAAGAAAAGTTATTACTAGCATTAATAGTTTCATTTTTCAGAACATAATCAGCTTTCTCTGCTAATTTCTTTCCTATGTTGATAAAAAAATTGTTAAAAATGTTTGAAACCACCGTTCGATCGTATTAAGTAATACTTTTGCTATAATATTATTTATTTAAACATTACATAATGTTATAATAACATAACAATTGAAGTATTCACAATTTAATCAAGTATTAAAGTTATAATAACATTTATGTTACGAAAATGTTGTCTGGGACATAGATGTAAAATTAATTAAACAATTCCTAACTCTATTTTATATAGGTCTCAAAGCGGGTGCTCTGCCGGAAGACGTTCAAATAAATTACCCAAAATAAGTGTTTTACTATATGGCAAGTCTACTGGGCACACGGTCGAGAATACCCACTTGGGAAATTCATATGTCGAAACTGGTCAATGTGTTCCTTTAGATTTATTCAAAATATTTTAAACACCTCCTACACATTATTTTTATGTAGGTCTCAAAGCAGCCAACTTCCGGAAGAAGTTCAAATAGCTTTCCCAAAATATACTGTTTAACGGATGACCGTCTACCGGACACAGGTAGGAAATACCCACTTGGAAAATTTATATCTTGAAACTGAGTAATAGTATTCCTTAGATTTATTAAAAATTGATTAAATTCCTCCTCCTCTTTATTTTTATGTAGGTTTCAAAGTGGGTGCTCTGCCGGAAGACGTTCAAATAACTTTCCCAAAATATACCGTTTAACGGATGACCGTGTAGTTGGCACACTCTCAAAAGTACCCACTTGGAAAATTCATATCTCAAAACTGGTCATGGGGTTCCCTTAGAAATATTCAAACTATATTAAACACCTCCTTCCCTTTATGTTTATGTTGATTTCAAAGAGTTTGCTCTGCCGGAAGACGGTCAAATAAAATACCCAAAATAAGAGTTTTACCCTATGGTCCGT